TTTGATAAGACTTTATCAAAATCATACACCTTTTCTTAGACATCTCACATGTGTGTCTAAACAATTTTAGAACTATGAAAAGGGATGTCGTAATCATAGTCTCAATTGTTTAGACCTTTGCCATTTCTCAAAAGTCTATGTTAGTGTGCCGGTTACCCAAACACGCTCCATTAACGACTTTGAGAATGCAAATATCACAATTTCTATCTACTTAAAACCTTCCTAGTGAAAGCGTTTCCTCACCATCATTTTCATGAATCGGAGAGAAACATTATGACACTTAGATTTTATTTTTATGGTGTAAGTGTTCCTATCCATGCGAATTTGTCAAAACCATAATCATAAGACAAGGTTAGTGACAAATCAAGACTCATATGGACTGAACTTGTTTAATCTTACTTTCTTGCCACCTGGCAGCACAGGGCCTACCATTGCTTTCAGGTTGTTATGCAAACAATTGAGAACTCATAGAACTCACAAGCATAGTCAACTTTTAACTGGAACAGACACAGAAATAAGAATATGTCAACACGATAGGTTACAAACCTCAAGTTGTGTGCTAGCGATTAAACAATAGGTTTTATTCTTGATTAGTTCTTGAAACTTTTCCAAGATCTTTAAGACTCCCACTGTCCTCTTGACATATGAGATTCTCTTGTTAAGAACCATTCCTTGACAGAACAAATATTCAAGAGTTAGTACGGATTCTTATCAAGATAAACACTTCTCACAATTGGTCTTAGTTGGTCTCTGTTTTATCCAAAACATCACAACTTACCAATTTCAAATGTACAAGAGTAAGAAACATGTTACTCTACATTTGATAAGTGTTATAAACCTTTCTTAGAATTATGTCACTCAAGTTAAAATCTTAGAGTATGACTCTAAGACTTGATTTTGGAATGAAGTATGATTATCTTTTGATTTAACCATCTCAACAGTTCATGATTCCTCTCCTAAGCCACACAAATGCACTAAGGTGTCTTTAGAGGATCAATTGTGATATGGTTTTATAATCACTAATATAATCATAAAACAAGATACTCAAGTACTCTCCCATCTCTTCAAATTGGAGAAACCTTTATCTTTCTGCCTAATTTGATTCTTCTCATTCATTCTTCCAATCATTGAAACTTTTCCAATATTTCAGAATTACACTTAAACTTGTAAGTATAGCCATATTTACTAAACTTTAGTAAATCATAATGAATAACCTTATTAGCCTTTGTGGTGGACCTGACCAGTGCACAACCCAATGTACCCGATCCTTTAGTCCTTCACTTGACTCACATGTACATGCGAACAAGGAATTAGTCTTAATTTATAAAAGATGAAAATTCTCATTCATCATACAATACAAGTTGCATGATTCCAGGTTTCTATCCAACTGAAACTTGGGTGATGAGGATCTTTTTAATATTTGGTAAATTATGACACTACCACAAACGAAAGAATCAAATACATTTTCCAATATTGCTATCAATGAAATCATATAAACAACAATTTTTCACAAATGTCATCATAAGGATACTTAAAATAAATATAATCAAAACTTTCTTTTATTTTGAAACATGCGGAAAACGTATCCTTACAGTGCAAATACGTATGAAAAACATGTTGTTATCTATTCCTAAGCAATCTATCATAACTCTTTAAGCAGCAGTTCAAAATTCTGATCACCGAACCATGCGATTAAAATCCATCTTCGCGATCAAAATCAGCATACCCTTTTTTAGGTTTCCTTTGATTCTTCTAAAACATCAAAATGTAATTACATTACATCATGTATTAAGAATCTCCAAAAGAGACTTTCATAGAGTTAGATAATCGACTTTACCTGAAGTAGAGTCAAACTTTTTGACTTTACCATCCTTATGATCTTTCAGGTAAATTGGGCAGCTTCGCAACCAATGTCCCTTCTTTTGGCAAAAGAAACATATGGACTCTTTGGAAATGGTACACTTGATTGTCCAGACTTAGCCTTTCTCTTTACCATTGAGTCAAACGACTTGACCATGGCCGATCCCTTTCCATTGGGAAGAGAAAGTTTTTCTGGACTTTCAATGTTACCATTACCAATGTCCATGGAAGCATGGGAAGTAGATCTTTCAATCAAATTTGCTTTACCATTGCTCCAAATCATTGCTGATTCAGTAGCATCGAGCAAATATGTAAGATCATTAACGGTCGTGTCATGGTCTGTCACATAGTAGTCCTTAAAGAACTCACTATATGACTTAGGAAGTGATTGAAGAACCCAGTTAACAGTCAACTCCCTTAAGACTTTGACACCCAACTCTCCCGGCTTGCCAATATGTGACTTAATCTCCAAGATGTAAGAACATATATACTTTGCTTGCCAATTAGGGATTGAGTGACCTTGAACTTGTGGGTCAGGGAGAATTATTGGAGGAGGTGGAGGAAGTGAAGCTCTATCCAAAAGGATGAGGAAGACCATATGTGTCTGAACTTAGACATCTATGAGGGAGAAATTCAAGTTTCAGTTGATTTAAGTCCTTAACATAACACCCAATATGAAATATTAAGGCTAGGACCCAACAAACTATTTTATAACTTGGAAGAGGGATGCCGTAATCCAAGCTACAAAATATTTGAAGGTAGGTAAATGACGATTTACCAATTTCCACCATGAAAAACAAAATAAATTATTAAGTTTTAATTGGATTGAAACTCCTAGATCTTTTGAGATTCATTGAACTTTCAATGGCATGTTTAAATCTCGATTGTGCCCTCTCAAGTTTGTGACTGGGATGTCGAGGATCACAAACAAGGTATGAATAACCATGCAAATTGACTTGGCACCCTTAATTTTATCACCCAATCGATGTGCCGGTTAACCACACGCGCTCCACCGATCTATGATAAAACTTAAGTCACCCTTTGCCACACATTGTCAGTCCCATGCTAGTGTGCCGGTTAACACACACGCTCCACTAACGACTTAACAAGGGTTCAAAGTGTAATTTCATGGGTTAGCACCATTTCACATTTTCCTAAGTAATTAAAATTGGGAATTTATAAGTATTTAGTTACTTAGTATTTATCATTATACTTTTAATGAAAGGAGAATTAGAGTCCTATCCTACCCATTCGGCTAACGACCCTCCACCAGTCAAGGAAGCGGTGGGTGAGAGTGGGCACCGATTAAAATGCCATTTTATAGGTAGTAACCTTATACCCCCCTTAGAGACTGGCTTCGTGAATGAGGCCTACTAACGGTAAGATTGACTTTATCTTATACATATATATAACCATTAACTTTTAATATTATAATAGTATAAGGTTGAATTTTAAACTTTTAAAATTCTAAGGTTTAATTTGGAATTAAAGTAAACATGGGGAGGTAACTTTGCAAAATTCCAAAACTTGAGGGAAAGTTTTTGAAACTTTTCAAAACTCTTAGATTTTCATAACTTATGAGTTTAATTAAGGTTTTAACAACCTTTAATGAAGAGACTCTTGAATATCCATAACTTGAAGACAAGTTATGGAGTTCATAAAACTATTTATGACAAAAAGACTCTTCATTTTGTAACCTATGACGCTTTTATGAGTTTTAAGAGTCATAAATGTGACTTTTCATATAATCTTGGGGACAAGTTACAAAAACACATTTTATGAACTACTTTTAGATCAATTTAGATTGAAAACAACTAACACATAATTTTTTTTCATTAATCTAAATTAACTCATAAAACAAGGTAACACAAAACTTTTGGTGTTCCAGAACTTGAGGACAAGTTATGGAGTCCATTCAATGTCATTGAGATCAAAAATTACACTAACAAACAATTTGCACATAATTCCTATGATCTACCAAATCTCATAAGCATGAACAATCCATACCAATAATTTTCAAGAATCATATAAACATATATAAAACATGAAACTTTGATAATAACTTTGAAATTGGTTTACCATAGTCATTACCACATCAAAAATAGGTTTTATAAGTCCAAAACAGTTTAAGGTAATGATTCTAGACCAATTCCAGCCTTAAAAGTCGAAAATATGTTGTCATGGGCTTCTACTCGTCGAGTGTATGGACCTACTCGACGAGTAGGATGAATTTCTTCATGGACTCGATGAGTCCATCAGTGGACTCGGCGAGTTCAGTGCCCAGGAAGCCAGAATTTTTTCGATTTTTAAGCCATTTCAGCATGTATAACTTGAAAACAAGCCTAGGCTCTGATACCACTGTTGGGTTTTGAGCATTCTAACACTCCTAAGGTGTTCATGCAACCCTAAATACCTTGGATATATGTTTTCACTAATTATACATGCAATGGTGTTTCCAAGGTATTAAACCTATAACTAGCATACAATTATCATATAACACACAAGAATCTAGTTAGGATAACATACCTTATGGTGGAGATTGAAGTCTTGATGTATATAGCCTTAAGAGCCTAGCCCCAATAGTGTGGAAGCCTCAAGTGGAATCACAACACATCATGGACAAAGGAGGAACTTGAGAGAGTATCCACATGCACCCAAAACCACCATGAACTCCAAGAATACACTTGTGTCGATTTTGGGCAATGAAGTATGTATTTATATGTGGGATTTCTAGGGTCATGGATATAACCCAAATCCATACTCATGGGTCTTCTGATCCATGGTTTATGTGGCCCAACTCTTTATGTATCCATACATAAACTTGGTCCAACATGGATCATAAGCCCAACACACATAAATATAACTAATTTACATAATTAGTCCCCATAGATTTAATTAGTCTCTTTTTGATCACTAAATCAATTCTAAATTAATTCTTGATCAATACTAATTAAAACCATATGATTTCATATTAATATATTAGTACTTATAATATATTAATAAATCATATATTACCTTCTCTCAAGAGTCCATCCTAACAAATTGTCCTGATGATATGCAACCCAAATGGACCATGCTACTCTCGGGTCAAGTATATACCAATAATAGTTATGGGCTTAGACATCTAATCCAACACTTATATGACCAAACTTGCTAAACTTGCCACTGCTGAGATCATTTCATCAAAGGTAATTTTGGGTCGAGTCTTTTCGGTATTGTTTCTCTAATGGTTAATCATTTCAAAATTTGTAATATAATGCTTATAATATTCTTTGGCATCTATATTTTTAATATGTCATGTAGGAAATAAAAGCTTATTGGTAAAGGGCTGCTTCATCTCTACTTGTTGCTATTGGTTCTCATTTACCAGACCTTGTAAGTAGATAGAAACAGTCAAAAAGAATATCATCATTCTTTCACATCTATCTTTGTTCCAAAATGTATGCCTGATTGTTGAACAAAGGAGGAAGTGTTAAGAATTTTTCAGCTTTGAATTTAGGAAAACATGGACCTGAAGGGGTGGAGATATTACCTCTAGATTTGAGTTCTGGTGAAGATGCAATCAGAGAGGTTGTTGAAAAAGCCATATCTTTATTCGCTGGTGCAGGTGTAGATTATGTTATCCATAATGCAGCTTTTGAGAGACCTGTAAGTTAGCATTATATTTCTTTTATAGTATTAAAATGTTAAAATGAAGCATAATATCATACCCTTTTAACCGAATTACTGACTTTTGGCTCTTTGTTGCAGAAATCAGTAGCACTTGATGTGCCAGAAGCAAGTCTGAAGGTATAACATATTGTTCTTTGAAGTAAACTCGTTTGAATTTATTAATTTAATATCTTTACTTTTTATTTTGTAGGCTACACTTGATGTAAATGTTGTGGGGCCGGGTTTATCTTACACGATTACTACTCCCTCACATGTTAAAGAAAGGAAAAGGACACTTTGTTGTGGTATGTTGAGAAAAATTATTTATATTTCTTGTAATTCGTCGTACATTTTCCCTTTTCCACTTTATATAATTTACAATTCCATTATGTTTTTATGTAGATGAGTAGTGTTGCAGGTAAGGCTCCTGCACCAGGTCAAGCAGTATATTCTGCTTCAAAATTTATATTAAAGGGCTACTTTCATTCCTTGCGGTCTGAGGTAAACCAATTTTATATTATTTTTTTTTAAAATAAAAAATCAAAAAGTTTATGATTAAGATAATCATACTTGTTATTTCAGTTTTACCAAAAGGGAATCATGGTAACAGTTTTTTTCCCTGGGCCAATAGAGACAACAAATGCACCTGCTACAAGCACAACATCCAAGGAGGTTAGTTTCATATCTTGTTATGGTATCCAAATTTAGATATAATTGCAGGAAATAGCAACATACTTTACATGTTAGACCAATATAGGCAATGTACTTTATACGTAAAAAATAAAGTATATTGGTAAAGAAATGAAAGTACATTGCTATTATTGGTAACATTGTTTAATGTTTAGAGTGTGTTTGTTAACAGAAACGAGTATCATCAGAGAGTGTGTAGAGCTTGTCTTAGTTGCTGCAAGCCATGGTTTGAAAGAAGCTGGATTTCATATCAGGTAAGATAGTGGTACATTGGTTATTTGGTTTATAATTATATCAGTATTATTTGTTTATTAGGTAAAAATGCATGATTTCAGTTATGTTTTATTGAATGATTATTTATTATTTTTGGTTTACTTTTGCTTTTGCAGCCTGTGCTTGCTGTTATGTACCTAGTGCAGTACATGCTATCTGTTGGATTTTGGCTAATGGATAAGGTACTTATTCATATTATTCTTGGTTGATTCCGTGGGATTTCAATTCCATTCCCATCCTATGGTTGGTTGCAAATGAGTGCGGAATTGAATTCCATATTGTCAACAAAATCTTTTGACGGATGGATTTCAACATTCCATCATAAAACTCATGGAATTCAATTCCCAGCACTTCCTCCTTGTTGCTATTGGTTCTTTCCATCAATAATATTTTATTAATGGGAAGCTAATTGCGGTTGGTGTGATTGATATTCTTCCTGAATGTTTATCCACTAAATATTTATTCTTGGATCTAGATCTCCCCCCTTTGTCACTGGGTAAATACTGAGCATTACAAGAAATAAGTTGGGTGAGAGAGAATGAAAAGCATTATTCTAGCTTGCAGTATTATTATCTTATTCTTGGCTATTACATTCACTCTTGTAGCAAGGTGAGATATAAAGTAGCTTATCGCCCATCTGAGCTTCTCTGTCCTCTTAGTTACCAGTAAGTCACTTCAAAGATAATCTAAAAAATATATAAAATTTTAGATATTTTTTAAAGGCTATTTTGACAAATAGGTGGGTTTCTTTTGATATTGCAATGTGTTGTTGTGTACAGACCCACCAAAGTATGCGACAGGGGCAATTATGTCATTTTTGGTCTCTCTTTCTCTCTCTATATATATAAATATATATATATATATAGATATATGATATAGATATATATATATATATATATATGTATATATATATTGATTGTTAATAGATGATATATTTACAAGTATAACACCTTTGAAAGAAAGAAACAGAAAATAAATTACTATAATTAGGTAAATTACAAAAGTATAATGCCTTTTACCACACAGGTCTTTGAAGTATAATGGATTTATTCTAAGAAGTTGTTTTTTTATGTAGTGGAATGAACCATTCATCCCATTTTGTTAACTTGATTCCTTTGGCATGTTCGTATGTGATTTCTAAAAGATTATAATATAACCCAGGTTTATTATCAAGTGTTTTAATGGCAAATCTTTGTAAGAATTTCATACTTTTAATTAAATTATAATTTCATTTTTTTAACAACAACCAAAAAAATATTAATATTATATTAAATGCCCTTGATAACTTATAAATCAAAGTCGCATTCAATCCACAATAAAGAAAGTGAAGCTGCACTTCAAGCTAGTCTTTGGGGGAAATGTTAACGAAACATTTGATCAATTTGAGAATTTACAGGACATGGACACTTCATTTGCTTCAACTAGTTTTGCATCCAAATCAGGTGTCTATGATTCCGTTCCTTGTGAAAATTAGATTAATTTTTTTGGAAAAGGATCTATATATAATTTGGTTTATTGGTTTGTTTTTGGGTGTGCAGATTGAGCTGATATCTGGTGATCAAAATGGGGATATTCGTGTATGGGACTTGACTACAAACTCTTGTAGCTGTGAGCTGGTATGATTTGTGTTTTATTTTTAGCATATATATATATATATATATATATATATATATATATATATATACATTGATGAAGTTGTATGGGTTTGAAGTTTGAACTGAACCCAGGTGCCAGAGGTTGATACATCAGTGAGATCATTGACAATGATGTGGGATGGAAGCTTGGTAGTTGCTGCAAACAACAAAGGAACTTGTTATGTCTGGAGGCTCTTACATGGGACACATGTAAATTCACTATTTATTCTCTTTTTTCAACTAATTATTGTTTATTTTTGACTTAATCTGATCTCGTGCACATACCAATTTTGGTATGTATGGAATTACCAAATTACCCCTGTGAAGTAAATTAAGTCCATGTCAATTCCTTTTCAGGTTGCGGGATCCCACTTGGATACTGTTTTTGACAAACTTAAAGACATTCTTGACAACATTGGAAAAAGTGTTCTCTAGAGGTATATATTTATATTATATAATTTTTGTTTATTGTTTATGCTTATTTTATGTTTAGTCTTCTTGACAACAAAAGACTGTTTGAAATGAAGATTTCTATCATTCTTCTCAGATAAAACTAAGATTAAATATTATGATGACATTCATGCTGTATTAGCTCTCATGTATGGATATACTGCAAGATATGCTCCTTCAACTGTAATTTAAGCCAGAAGATGGAAGAAGTCGTGCGGAGCAACTGTTACATATCTTGAAACAAAATCGATCACATTGTTTCTACACAAGTAACAAAGATCCATATTTCCAAAATAGTTTGTGTTTTATGTTTGTTGTTATTTGGATTAGGAATATTTGTTTTTCTAGTTTGACTCATGTTAATAAAATAACAATTAAATGTGATTTATTTTTAATATTAGTACAATTATTTCATGAAATGGATTGTTCAAGACGATCTTCATATTGTTTGAATTCTTTCAGACTCAAGAAATACCCTAAGGAATTTCACAATACAGTTCTTTCTTTGTAGTGACTTCACTCACGAGTCTAGTGCATTAAGTTAATGCTCTGATGCTCGCCTTTTACTAGTGTCTTGGGTTTCACAAGGACACCCTTTCTATAGTTACCATCACACTAGACATCTAATATTCTTGTCATCTGGTTGCCAACTCCTTAGGATCCCAAAACGTTCTCCTTGTATCAATAGCATCAAGCTCCTTCCTAAGCTATAATGGTCGCGCTTTCGTGTACTATCTCGCTTTCATCGTCATATCACCATGTCAAAAATTAGGTCATTGGATGACCTTCCAGTGTCGGCAATCACATTCACGTATTTACTTTCATCTAAAGATGGAATTCATGATTCCATTCCATTCTTTTTTCAATCCACTTGCTTGTAATTTAAATTTCTCACTCGTACATAATAAAGTAAGCTTGTCCTAAATAACCAAGATCAACTAGTTTCTTAATCATAAATTTGGGATTCCAATTCTTATACCATTTTAGACTTTCACCAAAAGTCAATTATATCCTTTTTAGCTAATTGATTTCTAATAAATTAAATAGCTCAATCTACTTCATTATTTAGTGTTTATAACTCACCATCCATGGTACTTAATGGGTACAAACTTAATTTCAAACATATATCGAATGCATACTACGTAATTTTCATTTTCATACTAGCTGTTTGACTTTGACAGAAAAGTCAAACATGGCAAAATTTTCCATTATCCATTAGAATGCTTTAAACTCCTTCATGACTCTTATTTGACACAAGGTGTGCGTTCAGTAAGTCCCTACCTTACTAAAATCCTTACCATATTTCACAGAACCCTTTCATGGTTCCACTAAGTTCGAGTATGTATCATGTGTTTATAATAGTATGTGCCCTATACTATTATACCCACATCATATATAACCGACATTGACTTCACCGCATAGGAGATTTTGATCCATGGGTATATATTTTCCATACTCACTTTAGAAGCATCCAATGTAGCATTCTACGAGTATATTTAACTTATCTTCAGTCTCATAAACATCTAGCATGGCAATTCCTTTCTATCACTTATTGCACAAGATTCTACCTCACTTAAGGCATAGAAATCGTATGACTCACTCACACTTTCCGTAACCAAAGTATAAGCCTAGGAGTGGAATTCTCCAATTCTAATTCGCTTAAAATATGGCTTTGATACCAAACTGTAACAACCCAATTTTTTTAAAAACTTTGGGTGTTACCATTAGCATCATACAAACCATAGCAAGCAAATAAGAATTACATCCATACCAATATTACGTAACTCAACAAGCTCCACTCCATCTATCATGACACATCATCTAGCTTCCATCAATCATCACTCTATCCTTGCATATAACGCGGGATACATGGCATTAAAAAGAGATACATAAGACAATAATATCTCGTGAGGTACGCGAGTTTGTGACCCAAAACGTTTATCATATTTTAATAAAAAACATTTCATCTTTGCAAAACATACTTCAAATAGACATTTTCCATATTCCGTTCCATATCAAAACTTTCATTAGTCATAACATTTGTCAAAAACATTTCTTTTCACATTCCATTCATTCTTTCATTAAGGGCTAATTCCAATGTGAACCATTTCCATTTTTATACTTAGGTCCGAGCAATATCCCCAAGTCTATACCATGGTGGAAAGAAAAAAAAATCAATCCACCAAGGCATCATTTCCGTTAGGCAATCTATCTTGCAAAAGGGTAGCGCGACCCCAATAGATTCCTCTATATCCCGTACCGGGGATATCAAGGCTCGAGCAATATATTCTTTTCATTACTTTCCAATTCTTGTCATTACTTTCCATTTCTTGTCCTTACTTTCCATGCTTTACACATTCCATACGTTAGTATCAATATACTCATTTCAAAACTAAAGCATCTATATTCCAAAACATTTCAAACACGTTATCAAAATATTCGTTCTTCTAAAACGTTCTTTGCTTTCAAAAACATTCCTTCAAGGCATTATTTTAGAACATTCTCTCCAAAAGAATTGAACACTTTCATTTCAAAACGTTTCATATAACAAAACATTAGTGTTTCATTATCATAGATCTCTTTTCCATGTACCCTAAAGTGGGAAAAATGCCAACACATACTCACCTCGATCACACGTAGGTTAGCTAGTCCTTTTCTAGTTCCTTTCCCAAGATCAATACTCTCCAATCACTATGTATAAAATATATGGACATAAGTCATTGTAATGTCCAAAATACACCTCATCGGTTTGTAACATTTATTCAATCCCCATAAGCTTATTTACTTCCTATTAGCTTATATATAAGGTTTGAGGGCAATCGAGGTCGTTTACTAGGTTTTCCACAAAAAAATACACTTAACTGAACACACAACACGGCCCCGTGTCACATTACACTATAGTGACATGCCACGTGTCATGCCTGACACCACCCCATGCAACTTATGCCTATAGTGACGCACCCCCATGCCTGACACAGCCCCATGCAACTTATGCCTATAGTGACGCACCCCCATGTCAACCCTACTCTACACCTCCAATGACCACCAATATTTACCAAGTGGTTATTAAGGACTAAATAAAGGTTATAAACCTATTAAATGCTCAATTAATGTCACACCCCAAAACCGGAACGGCGGAAACGTTCGGGGTGGAGGACGTCATGTACAGTATCACAACAAAGCATAGTAGTAAACAAGCAAACATCATCCATTGCATTAATAATATAAGAAATACAAATGTTTCTGTTAAGTTTATAAGTCACCAAAAATGTAAATCAAAATAAGAGATGAGTCTTGAATGAGCTCCATCTTCTCAAAACCTGGCATCGGTACCTGTCTACTGATGACCTAAGAATACAAGTTATTTTGTAAGAGTTTATCAGCTTTTAAGCTGGTGAGTTCATAAGCATTTTAGTGTCATTGTTTGTAAGTGCTTGTTGTATGAGTTTGTAAATGTTTGATGTATAAGTTTTGTAAATGTTTGTAGTAAATGTTTGCATCTCCTAGAAAATCCTATATTTTCTACTAAACGTAGCCTTCTACCAAAGCATCAAATGTTCTGTATGTTTGTTTCTTGTAAGAGTGTGTATTTTCCTAAGTGTGACTATCATTAACCAAAAATATAGTTTTACATTACCTTTTATGTGAGAAGATCACAATGTGAATGCAATGGGGAAATAATAAAGTACTGTGGTGTTGTATTATAGAAACTACTGCTGTACTAACTACCTTAAACCAATTGTTATTTATTAAAGTACGAATGTGATATGCCTGTACCATACTACCGACTAAAAACACGACGATGAAAGACGTCGGAAGAAATGACATTTGGCACCCGTAGACTTGCAAGTCCCACTGTAGCGAGCAGCAAGGTGTAGGATAGTCAATCCAGTATAGATTTACAACAACATTCAACGCTCTCCCTAAAGGAGATTCTGGATACAAGTCGAGCCATGACAGGTGATGCCATGCCCCGAATCAGTGGCTCACGTTTATGTTATAGTGTTTTTGTATATGTATTGTATGTACTAGTGTAATGTATGTTCTCTCTGTCTAGTATGTAGTATGTTCTCTTGTTTCTATCATAGTATGTTCTCTTAGTTTCTCATAATAGTATGTTCTCTTAGTTTCTCATAATAGTATGTATTGACTCATGTATGAACTGACTCTTTATTTGTTTCATTGTTCTAGTAATAGTATTAGTAACTTCCTAAACTATACCTATTATAGTTTCCTAGCAATGTTGTTGTATGAATGAACATGTTTGTATACCTTTGCTACCCAAAGATATTGAACTGAATGAAGGAACTTTTATATCTATGCACATATACATAATAATAATTAAGATCCAAACGACTTCGGACAAAACAGCCGATACCCTAAGTCCAAACCAAACAAGGAACATGAAGTAAGGTGAGCTATCAGTCCTAAGTCCTTTCAATCCTACTTATAAACTATATCTATATAGATATTCTTTTGACAAAATATCAGTTTAAAAGAGTTAATAAAAGTATTTAACATGTAAACGAGTTATAAAACGATTTGAAGTAGTTTGTTTGATAACACAGTTTGAAAAGTAAGAAAATCCATATGTTTGATAGGTATTAATCACATGTGATTGATATAATAACTATATTAGTTCAACTTGTATTCCCCCTTCCCTCATAAAAGCATTTAAAATCATTTAAAAGGTTGATTAAGGGGTATGAACTCACCTGTAGTGAGTGGTTTGGATGAACGAGTGGTTATAGGATGCTAAGTGTCAAGTGAAGACTTGAGCACACACACGGATCCTATTTACATATAATGACAAAATATATGTTTCTAATTAGTGTTATAACACCTAATCATGAAATGGAACAACCTTAGGGACTAGGAAACACTTGTTATGAAGTGTTTAAACACATAGGGTTGCATATAAGGGGTTTGTAGGGCCTCACATAGGAGTTTACGACCCAAATGGTAATTACCACATCAGTTTACGG